TATATATATATATATATATATATATATATATATATATATGAGGACAAAAAAAGTGACTATCCAAATATAAACCTATACTATGTACTTGCAAAGGAAAAAAGCAAAACATAAATATAGTTCATGTGTGCCTGCTTTTTATAGTCAAAATAGCTGTTCAATAAAATAAAAATCCAACACAAATTATTCAGAGATGTTTGTGACATGTTTAATAAAACAATAGAGCTAAATTATTTTTGTTTTCTAATTTCTTTCCTCCTCTCTGTGCTCCAGACACAGATGATCTCCACCCTGCAGGCTGAATATTGCACAATGCAAAGCATGAATCCGGAACATTCACAATAATTCACCCAACACATATGGCATTCCTAACAGTTCTTCCAGTTAATTAGACACAGGGACATGGTAATGAAAATATATAAATATTTTTTCCAGTCCAAATTTAAGTAAAAACAAGAAAAATAATATTAATTATCAAGGGTTGTATTAATGGAAAAAAAATCGTAAAATAAAAGCAGCATTGAAAGCATCCATTGGGTGAAAAAGGAAGACCAAGACCAGCAGTCTTTCCATGTTTTACTGAAGTTTAGAGATATGTTCTAAACATGACCTCACAGCAGCTTTTACACCCGCTTACACATTGCAAGGATTGCTTAGCCCCTAAAGATCCACAGATTTTACACAAATTTCTGGTTAGTTCTGCATGCAGTTCTACATGATTCTGGCAGGATTAGGTCAACTGGATGCTCTAAAGTGTCATTCGGCACTGAGAGAGCGCCAACATGGTTCTGTGTCTCTGTGACACTGAATATTTTACAGGATATAAGATTATTCATTGATAATAGTAATAATAATAATACAAATGCATGTTTTTAAAAGGCTCTGTAACTGCTCCTCAGCTTGTATTTATTTCTACAATAGAGGTATTAATCCGCATACCTCTCTAATGTTTTACTTTGCTGCTCTATTTCCTGAAGACCCTTTCCCAGCTGTAAAAACTCTGCTATCATCTCACCAAAGCAACAGCAGCTTTTATCCGTTCCTCCACAAAAGCCCAACTGAAATACTGATGCCAATCTGTGACAGGTGTCTTTCTACTGCAAGAATTACCCAAACAAGAATAAACTGCCAGCATGTTCCTGAGTGACTTCTAAAAGAGATGCCAGATGGTGAAAATGTTCACCAAATATCTCAGTTTGCCTTCAATTAACCTATAAAACAACAAAAATATAAAAATGAATTACGTCGTTAAACCTATTCCAAAGACGTTTTCGTTGAGCCGCCTGTTTTTTTGCAAAGATTTATAAAACAAATGCATAGAAATGCTCAGATAAAGCATCTATTTAGAGCTGTGATTAATGTGTTTGTATTTGTCTCATATTTGCATGTTTTCCCACATCTTGCAATAAAATCTCTGTTTTCTTGTTTCATTCACAGTGCTGCTTTTATAGCTGTGTCAGAGCAACGTTAAAACATCGATCTACTTCCTGGAGCATTTAATACTATGACAAATGTTTTTTAAAAAGCTGCTTTCGGTTTTTCTTTGTCTTTACTCTAAGCTTAATACTATAAAAATGTTTTTTTTCATTGTCAGTCTTTGCAGAAGCTAAATTCATATTCAGTTTCGCTGTGTTTGTATCACTCCTCCTCTCTCTGTCCCTCTCCTCTCTCCCACATACCTCCCACACGATCAAGCATGCTTTATGTGTTTCTGCACGTTTGCCTCTTGCACACAAACATCAGATTTCCTAAAAGTACAGATCAGGAACTGTAACAAGCTGAAGACAAAAATCAGTCACATATTTGAGATTCACGGCCAGTTTTATATGGATGAATAAGAAAATAAAAATAAAAAAGCAATGGATGGAAATATGCAAAACACAACACAAACCCTATTCAAATGTTTAACCCGAATTCATTTAAACAAATAACTAATACAACAGCAGGGTGAGTGGAGAGGTGTGATTCAGGTGCAGTCTTTCAGGAAACTTCTTTAAAAAGGATAAATTCTTACTTATGGAAAAGAATGCAAAATCAGCCTGACAATCCTTCCTTAAGGTTCGAAAGAAAGTGAAATGATTTCGTAAAAAGCTGCCACCCACACACCTCATACCCAAAAAAAAAAGGCCCCGGCTTTTAAACTGCATTAAGATGCAGCAGCTTTATGTGTAAGCCTCATACCTTCACCTGGTTTTATGATCTGCACCATCTCACAAAGGTTCAGAACGACATAAGAAGCGCACAGCGAGGTCTGTTAGCAGTGAGGTAACTCAGGCAGAGGTCTTAGGGCCATTCGATGCAGAAGCATCCAGAAACATGCATGGGTAATTCAGAAATATCTACAGAGGAGGGATTTTTGTAGCAGTTTCCTCAATTTATCGAGCTTTATTTCACCTGATTCCAAGCAAGTACAAACGCTTTAGGGATGTGATTAGTAAATCTTTGATAAATCTAACTGGTTTATGCAGTAAATGAGTTGTGTAACAGATTGATAGGAGCAGCATTTCACTCAGCGAGTCAAATAAGTCATGGTAAACTTTTTCTAGAAAGTAAAAGAAAAAAATGCACTTCCAAGAATCTCAGAAACAATGTTTACAATGGAAATGGAACAGGTTTGTGCTTAAATTCTTGCTCTTTAGCTAAGCAAAAAGGCTGCAGAAAGCCTTCTATTCAAAACCAGGGGTAAAGAATGTTAAGAAAAGGTTACACACACAAAACGAAGGATCAGGGGATCAACAAAGTCAAAAAAGTCAAAAAGAGGGAATAAATACAAAATATCCTGGAAATTAATCTGCTACCAGCTGAGGCAGAAGAATAATAAAATCGAACACGTGTTTCCTGACACCAAAAAATACATGCAAAATAGAAGCATGTCATCATGTGTTTCAGTGAAATAAAATGGGATTTCATAGAGGTTTTCTTTTTTAAACAGTATTTAGAGTATTTTGCATCATTGACGGCTACAGTTAATTAATTTAAATTAATGCATTCTTTTCATTTAAAGATCAAAATCAAATATAAAAAAAGTTTAAAAAACAGGCACAACCACAGATACCAAATACCACTGTTGTGCATGAACACATTCCCGAGTGGAGCTCACTTTTTTCAGAGAAACACTCGCACCTTCTATTTTTACCATCTTTAAGGACTCGATATATATCTCAGATCTCCTCTCTTGCTTTCAACCTGCCTGCATCACCTTTATGTTTATTATTTCACCTGAAGAAGTAAAAACTAATTAAGTATATTTTCTGTTAATGTAATGTTTGCTGGCAGGAGAAACAGTAGAACAGAGAAGCTGCAGCTACATTTTAGAAGATTTTCTCTCCCAGATCATTGTAGAAATAAGTAGCCAAAATAACACTACGATGATTTATGTAGGTTATCAAGATTAATCCGAACCGAAATAAAACGTAAAGGGGCAGCTTTTTCATTCCTTTAAGACCTTATAATATATAAACCACATTGAATTATTTTGCTTTTATGGCCACATAATCATTTAGAAACAGCAGTAAGTATCTAAATCTTTCAAAATCTAAACTTTCATTACCTGCCAGTTATTCATTATTACTCTGTGTTGACTATGCAGTAAGTTTAAACGGCCTAAACGGTATCAGCAAATACATACAAAGTCTTAATTAACTTCTCTTTAGTCAATATTTTGTATTTTGCGTGAGAAAAGATGAACAGAAAACATTAAAGGTGGATTACAAATAAAGCAAAGGCTAATTATATATGCTGGTTAATAAACAACATAATCAACTATGTATTTTTTTAAACTTACTTCAAATAATACATGATACATTTTTGTGTTTCTGGTTAACTGTGAACATGAACTGGTTTATTTCAACCTGGGGAACTGAATCCTGAACTAGTTGTTTAGCATGAACTGGAGCAACAAAGGATCACCAGATCAAAACCTCTACTGAGGTCACATGCAATAATAGTGCATTTAAGATTGCACAACGTTTCAAAACATTCTCATTGTCACAGCATCACTGGACACAGTATGAATACAACAAAAGAACAGCTTGGATTGCAATAAATTAAATGGGAACAATGCATTCTGGGTTGTTATGCCAGTGATACAGCTGGAAATCCGGTGATCTGGTGAAACTGTCCCTTTACCCAAACAGCAGATGTTACCAAATGCCATTTGTATTTCTTATTAAAAAAAAAATAAAAATTCTTATTAAATTAGTTAGATAGAATAAGAGGATTTTATATTCTTAAGTTGGATTCTGTGTTTTCAATGAGCCTGAACCACAAATACTTAATATTCCCTAATACTGTTCAACCCCAGATCATTTACCTCATACTTTTCTCCACTATGGCATTAAAAACAAATTCTAAGATAATAGCTTTACTTATTTACCTCTACATAAGTTTTTTTTTCTTTGCTCTGAGGGCGATTTTCTGTCTAGATTAGAGCTGCAACTAACGATTATTTTGCCAATCAATTCATCTTTCTTATTTTTTCTGTTAGATAGCCAAAGATTCTTTAAAGAAGACTTTTTACGAAACTAAATCAGGTGAAACTCAAACTTCTCCACTTGAGGAGTTCTGGACAGAGCATTTTGACAGACGAAATGTTTCTTTTTTTATCTTAAATGCAAAATGTTTCTATATTTTTTTAGAATCTTGGTATAATTACTGATCTAAGTGGGTTTCTCTGTCAGCTAAAGACATGTTTTAGAGTCTCTATACTCCAGTTAACGATTAATCGATTACTGAATTAGTTGACGATTATTTCAATAATCCAATAATCCAATTAATTGTCTCAGTCTAGATGTCTTTGTCTATTATGCATCTGGTTTTGCAGCTTGATGGAGTGATTCCTGCATTATCATTTAGTTGTAGTTATTCTTCATCTAAAATTCAAATACAATTTAAAAAAAACTGTTTCATTTCCATAAAGATAAAAGTAGTTGCTGTACAGGCCTCAGCAACAAATCCTTGAGGAACTCCACAAGGAAACAAGCAAGTAAACTTTTCGTACTTACCGCTCTCTGCTGAGAACTGAGATGTGCAGGGTTGAGAAGATTTTCTCCCTTCTCCGTATCACTGGAAACATCATCCTCTGACTCCTCCCAAGATGAGGAGAAACCAGCTGAGGAGGCAGAGGAAGAGGACAGCTTCCTGAGGGCGCGAGTGGAGGAATATGGAACAGGGCTGGAACTGGGGCTCGGCGATCGGGACAGTCCCCGTTCTGAGCCTGAGCCTTCAGTAGTTTGAGACAGACCCTCCAAACCGTGATCAGTGACTATGACAGCAGGGATGGAGGGTGTTTCCAGCAAGCTCAGCTTCACGTTGTTACTGTTTTGTGTTTGAGGTAAAGCAGTGGTTTCAGTGAAATCATTCAACATTTTTCCTTCAGTCTGAATCAGCACATTAGATTGCCACTGATCATCTCTGTTTGTCCGTTCTGTCTCCTTTTCTATGTTTTCTACATCCTTCTCTTCCTCCTTTTCTTTCAGTTTTTCTTTATTCTGCTCATCTGTAGCTGAGTGTTTTTCTGAGGCTTCAGGTGAACCATGAATAATCCGTTTTTCCACGTAGGGATTTTGAACAGTTGATTCCGACAGGCAGTCATTTTGATCAATCGGTGTCTTGTTCTCTGCGTCTGACTTTGTAGAGCTGCTGTCCTTATCGCCCGCGTCCGTTCCCCCTTCCTTCCTTATTCTTTCAGTCATTCCTTCCTCCACCTCTCTGCCATTTTGTGTAACAGAAGGTACTTTATTCACTTGTGGGTGGGTCATTGGATTTTCAAGAACCGCGTTTCCTTTGCTGGGAGACAAAGGGGTTTGGCTAGTCGCTCGTCGGGTCGGTCGAGGGCTGCGCTGGAGTTCACTATTAAGGACCTGGGCCCGGATCCCAGAAATGTGGGCCTCGAATATGCCCACCTTTCCTCTGACCTAAAAAACAGAAATAACAAAAATATCTCTAGTATAAATATCTATTATGATTCCAAACATTTCGCTGCCCGTAACAACCATGGTATAATGGAACATCATCCCAGCATAGTAAATAAAGTATAATAGTAAATAAATAAGCATTTAGTGCATTCATGCTAAGGAAATATGTACGCTGTTAAAAGACTCAACTGTCCATTTTTTTTATTTGTTTTAGTTCAGTGTGTAAAAATATAACAAAATAAATTAAACTGTAAATAGGAGCTTAAATTATAGTTTTCCTGCAAAATGGAGAAGTAGAATTACTCGATGAAAAAGGTGCCACAATAAGTCATGCTTTCCAAAAATTAGAAAGAAAAGTCTATATTTTATAAAGCTTCACCCAAAAACATTCCTTATATTTTATCCATGCTTAAAAAATAACTTTTTTTGCTTTTATCAATAATTAAGAAGCAATTGAGAGAATGAAGGTCAGTTAGGGTGAAAACAGAGAGCTGGCTTTTGATCAGATTAAAATAAAGAAACTAATTCTGGAGTTTTCATCAAACCATTAAAAAAGAGAATTGCTTAAATGATCATATGAAGAGAAATATCACATAGAAAGTTTAAAAAAATCACCTCAACGTTTTGCAGCTCTCTGTGAATCCGAAGCAGATGTTCCTGTCGCTTCCTCTCGTCTCCTCTTGTCCCTCCTCCCGTCTCCTCGGGCGGGTCTCCGTCCCCTCTGTCTTCCCCGCTCAGGCGTCGGATGCGCTGGCCGACGTAGACTCCCAGGCGCTCCGGGCTTCGCGGCGAGGGAGAGCGTGGGCGAGCTGTGTCGCAGGGGGAGAGCAAATTTGGAGGGGGGGGGAAAGACGAAGGCTTGGCCAAATGATCGGGGGCTTGTCTGAGGGGACATAATAAGACATGAGGAGTCATTTGCAACAAGCTACAGTTGTTTTGGTGCTTTTATGACAAATGTTTTACTCTTTGAAATGGTTTGGGATTTATTTGCACAACTAAAATAAAAGCCACTAATATATTTTAGAAGTATATCGCTGCAAACTAAGAGTGAAGTAACATCTCATGATACCAAATCAGCATCACATATTTGTCGAGTCAAAACAAGATATATTTCCATCTAAGATATTAACCCTTTAAAGCCCGATCCAAGAATAAAACAAAACAGAAAATTATTATTTTTTGGTTTGAAGTCCTTATTTGGCCTTTTAACAAAATATGTAAAAAGAAAAAACAGAAATAAATTTTTGATATTAATAATTTATTACTATGCGATAAGTCAAGATTATTTTTTGTGTAGTCTTCTGCCCTCTTATATCAGGTATATCTGATTGTGTACAATAGAATTTTGAGCAAAGTTTTTACCATTAAATTATGCAAAAGGTGTCAGACGCAAAACATTTCAGAAACCGTATGTATCAGATATGATACATTTGGCATTACATGGTTAAAACATGTTACTTTTGTGCGAAACGGAAAAGCGACATTAAAAAATACATATATTTTTACAAAATCAATGCAGAATTTAATTGACACTTAATATTGATTACACACTAATTAAGAAAACTTACTGCAACTGATATTTATCAGAAATAATTGGAAATAATACCAAGGTTTTTTAAAACAACTTGAACTCAGTCAATATTCAGATGTGTAAAAGTTAATCTGAATAGTTCCTAATAGATTACAGTGCTTATAACTAAGTTTTTTGTTTGTGAAGCTTTGAGTCTATTTTTGAGGACCAACATAAAGAAGTGTTCTTAGATTGCCCAGAAACGTTGCTAAAATCTCACCCCTTTGAATTCTGGTGAACCTAAAACCCTGTATCACATCTTCAGAGTCAGACGTGTCATTTTACCCCTACTAGGTATATATTAAAATATAGTAACAAACATAAAGAAAAATCAAATGTTCTACTTCATTATAGAGGGTAAATCAAAGTAAAACCTATTATTATTATTATGGCTTTCCATAATAAATAGAATAGAATAGAAAATCCCTTTATTGTCCCACAATTGTCTATTATTATAGAAAATATTGCAAAAATTACAACAATTGAGTCACTGTACAAAGAAAATATAATGTTTTGAAATTAACCTCAAGGAAACCCCTTACCACAGACTCAGCCAAGTCAGCTTTAGTAAGTCACCGTGGGTAATCTAAAGAAATCTAACTTAGCGGCATCCTTTTTCTAAACCCGCCTGCTGTATAGCATGAACTGTTTCCAGGTGAAATGGATGCGCAGTTCCTGCTACCTTAGGGCTCGTTGGGCTGTAGAGGCTTCCACCCAGTAATGGGCAGTAGGTGCTCCGATCGGGAACCGGCAGCACAGGTCGTCCGACTGGGGCGGCGTTTGTTCTAGAGGCGGCGTTAGAGGACCCTGGCTGGGAGTGAAACTGATTACTGCTGCAGAGGGAAGAGAAACATGACAGGGTTTTTTTTTTTTTTTTTGTTAAAACCACAGATAGGGTCAAAAGTTACATTGCATGGTATTGTTATTAATAAAACAAGTCTAGTCTGATTGAAATTATCCATCTTCTACAGTTTAAAGCTTGAAAAAAAAAAACGAAATTTCAGCAACTATTAATTCCTCTGCTCTAGTCTTTCCGCTTCTTATTTAGCAGAGCAACAAGACTTGTTTATGTTACACATTTTTCCGGCAGTCCTTGTACCTGTTCATGACTCCAAGGCCGTTCAGGTTCAAGGCAGAGGCTGCCATCCCCACGGCCAGGCCAGGGGCTTTGTGTGCTGGGTACACATCTGCCAATGTCCCCTGAAGCTCCAGGGATGCCTGCCGAACAGCTCAGGGTTTTCTCTGCATCCGAGAAGCAACAGAAGATCTGAAGCCAGGAAACTGGGACCACCGGAAAAGAACAGAAAGAATAAATTCACTTTATTCTGTTTAACTAATATGCTAAACTGGAGCAGGTGTCACTGGAAAAAGTTGTTTTAGAAAAGAAACAAAAGTGCAACGCAGACAATGATTACTCATGAGATGCTGTTGATAATAAGATATCAGAACATGTTATTTTAAGCTAGAAGTTCATCAAGTGAAAAGAGCAAAAGGGAAAAGAAATGGCAGATAGAGAGTAATCAGGGGACAAATTCTACTGGAGGAAAAAACGTTGCTCACTTCAATTAGTCTAAAACAAACAGCCGGTCCTAGTGGTTATAGCAGTGCACTTGTGCTCTGAGAAGGTTGCAAGTACCCGGTTCGATCCCCACAGCCTGCACTATGGGTCCCTGAGCAAGACCCTTAACCCCACACTGCTCCCTGGGCGCCACACAATGGCAGCCATTGCTCCCCAAGGGGATGGGTTAAATGCAGAGGGTGAATTTCTCCCATGTAAAATCAATAAAGTTCAATTATTATATTATCATTAACATCAAATAACATTTTAGTTAAGCAACCAACGACAGTTTGGCTAAGAGCAGCTAGCCTGACCAATAACCAGCTGATATCAATGTCATATACTTCTATTACACCATAATAAACTTAACAACAAACCGTTAATATTGTAAGAAAGAATAAATTTAGTTTATGGATAATTTGCACCAATTTCAATTGATAACACTTTAACTAAACCGCACTTTTCCCAACAAGTATGCAAAAGAAGATCCTTAAAAACTAAAATAAAAACACTTTTATGTAATTAAATATGCTTAAAGAAACATTTTAATATCATTAAAAGTGTTAAAAAGGGAAGAAAAAAATCTAATTGATTCTAAACATTGGTCAGCTGATCAAAAACTGAAAAATCAGTTTTTTCCATACCATTAAATGCATCAAAACTAAGAAATCCCATTTTTTGTCGGAGTCTATTAACACTTTACCTTCCTGTTGGATTCAAAACTGTTCCATCTGTCAGCTACAGCAGCACAGTTTCCCTGTTGTTGTGTGACGGCTCCATTTGTACACAGAAGTCAGAATTTCTGGCCCCAAATTGAGACATTTCAACAGGAACACCCTAAAAAGAATTTGGAACCGCTAGCCAGAAAATCTCTGCAATAAAACAACACCCATCGTTTAAATTAAAGACAGATGCTGTTTACATTCATAGAGCTTAAATTTTCCTTCTGTTTTTAATAGATTCTTTTTTGGTTATGTAATGAATAGGCAGTCAAATACAAAATTCATTTTAATGTTTGCAGGATAAGATATTTTGAAACGGTTTCTATACACAAAATACCATATAGAGCAGTGTTTTTGGTTAGGGTCGTTGTAACAGTGGGTGTAGTGGCCATATATGAAAAATGAATAACAAGTAAGGCTGGATTAAATATCTAGTCTGATCTTTTTTCTACCAAATCCAATTAATCAATTGTTTTCTCATGTTTCATAATCAAAATGCTAATAAACATGTAATTACATCTTGGGCTGAAACAATTATTAATTGATTAATCATGATTAACTAAATTGATAGTCGATTAAAGGTAAAGAGGACGATCCTTTATTTCCAGGTGGATCATCAAAATTAGTGGTCCTCCTGATTGTCAGTCATTCTGGTGATATGTTTATTTAAGGCCGTACTACGTGCACTTTCAGACATATATGTGTGGTGAGCTACGCTTTCAGACAGTCATTGAAGCTCACCTTTCTCATCTTGGTTCTTTGAAAAGTGCCGAGGGCCGTAAGAGAAAAAGTGTCTACGAAGTGTATGAGAAGAAAATAAAGGCCTCAGAAGAGGCAGATATATCCCAGAATGCTTTGGAGAGCTCTCCTCGCAAAGCACTATGCCACAGCGGCCCGCCTACTAACAAAGCTGGAACAGGCACCATACTGAGGAGGAGGAGTAACGTGACAAACGGAGCACAAAGCAGTGATCATCTGTCGGTCAGTTAACTGAGTTTTCTACAGAGTCCACTATATAGTCCCTGCTGTATGTGGACACAGTAAGCTTGTATTAGCTATGAGAACAGCACATTTTAAACAGGACGTGCACGAGGAGAAACGGGCTTGTATATATTGCATTTAAAATAAAATAAAAATGTTTTCATCTGTCAATATGCTGTATCAAGAACTCCTAAAATGGAAAAGTTTTAGTTTCACCTGCTTTAATTTCATTAAAAAAAATCTTCTTTAAGGAACCTCTCGCTATCACATTATTGATCAATTTACTGACAAAAAAAGCGACAGATGAATTAATTTGCAAAATAATCGTTAATTGCTGCCTTAATTTCAGCCCTGATCGCAGCTTTTAAAAACAGGCTTTTAGTTCAATCACTCCCTCATGGAGGTGACCTTAATGTAAAGGGCAACAGAAAGGAATGAACTGATGTGTTTCAGAGCTGTGGAAGCCCTAAGAATGGATGGCAAAAAAAAGGTCTTCATAAACAATAAATTAAATTAAGCATAAGGAAACCAAATATTTGTGTCATCCAGGAAGAGCCAGAATGGGGCTTTTCTATGAATATATTCATCAATATATTGCACAATCTTTGCAAAAGTAAGAATAGTTGTCTTGAAATGCTTTATTTGTCCAATTCTATTTAAATAAATAATATAACCCTTAAAATGAGAATACCCTATTTTACCCCATTTCAACTCACTGCTTTGAAATTGCTTTGTAGCAGAAGCTAAAGGGCGACACAAGAACAGTGAAAAGGAAGAACGATGGACACATGGAAGCACATGACACAGAGAGGAAAAACAGGCAGAGATGTGGAGAAAAATAGGCACATAAATAATAAGTTACTCTGAAACAGAGGAAGAAACAGAAGAGAGAAAAAAAATACGTATATGGATTTTGTGTTTGCAGAATTCCATTTATGAACATCTGCTGCATCTGATCAGAAAACAGTGGTTCTTTTAAATCATACACATCCCAATTTCTTCTTCTAAACTTCAAAAATTTTCAATAATGAAAAAAAAGCCCTTTTACAAATTAAAGTAGACATTTTACCTCAGGAAATGACTTCACATGAAGGTAAACTACAGGATATGTTTCACTATGTATTTTTATTCTGTATTGGTCAGTTTAGACGCTGTATAATCACTTGTTTTATCATGTCCTGCTGTGAAGAAGCTATGCAAATAAGCTCGACTGTGCAGGATGAGTTAAAGCTGGCGTTCCATGCACAGATGGTCAGCTGCAGGAAAAACCTGCAGAATGCATCGCCTTATTTACCAGCAACACGTTTCAGATATTTGGGCTTCAACTCAAGAAAGCACTTAAAGATCAGCAGCTCGGGCAGATGCGGGATTAAGCTGAATTTCTCGTGCCAATCAGTGAGCAAATAGTGTTTGTCCAAAGATATATGGGCTTAGAAGATACTTCTTTTATAAAAAATGTTATAAGAGTTAAATGACACCGCTTTTTTCCACTCTGTCGACCTTATATATCAGAACAGTCGGCGAAACCAAACTGAAGCCCTTATCTCTGCAGATCTTTTACACTCTGGGCTCACTGAAGCAACCAGTTTTAATGTCGTGCTCAGAGCTGATAGGAGGTGGATTCAAGAAAATGTTTTGATTCCCAATAAGTAAAGACATCAGGTCACGAACTGTGGGGCAAATGAGGGATTTCCTTTTTGGGGGAGTGACGCAGTTAGAAAGGCAGCCTGAGAGGCCTGGGTGGTTTGATAGCCATCAGTGTTTCTTTTTTTTTTTTATACAACACACAACCTAATATTTTTGGCTCTGTTTGTGTAACTGTCGCTAATGTTTTAAATGCAAAGAAATAAAAAATAAATAAAGAGGTTTATAAGTGAACAGGATGGAAAGAGAGGTGTATACAAGCTATTTTGGTGCTCTTGGCTGTTCTGAACCTTTCATGCAGAAGTAGCTGATTTACTTTCTGTCAAACAAAGGGGGCGTAATGAAGCAGCACTGAGAGCCAAGGACCAATTCCACACCACATGAGGCACAGCCTTGGCACTGAAGAGTGGAGCAAAGTGGACGCATTTCTCCCACACAAAGGTAGAGCAGGTGGAAAAAATGAATTCCAACCATTTGACTCAGCAGGTGATCACACATCTGGAGATGTTTTGGGAGAAAGAAGGACGGAACAACAACCACATCAACTAAAACTATTATTTTTTTACAGGAATGAGAGCATGATGGCATTTTAAAGAGATATCAACATTTATTTAGCTATTTCTGTCACATCTTAATTATGTCGGTACAAAAAAAAAAAACATGGAAGTTGCAGAAAGAGCATTTTTATCACGCTGGCGAAAGTCCAACAACAACAGCTATTAAACAGAGAGGCAAACAAATATCCTGACCGTGCCTTTAAAAAAAAATAAAATCGCATAGTTAAGTCAAACTTCAAGGCCACTAAAACAAACACTGATGCCTTTGAGCTAACTTTAACCTCTGCAGAGGGTTATTTGTACTTCAGATCGGCCTGTTTCATCAGACTAGGAGTTGGAGCAGGTCGGGCTACTAGCCATTCGCCTGGCTACGCCAGCGGGCAAGTTATGGATAAAAAAAAAGTTATTTGGTTTTTAAAAAATGCAGTGATGATGATGGGCAGGGTTTATCTATGGGTGTCTTTTAAATGTCTGATGGAAGAGATGCAGGAATTGGGTGTTTCCTGATACAGATTTCAGGTTAACTATGAGCTCTGACCTGCCGATTATAACCCATGCTGATTTCTTTACCGTAAGAACACAAAATAAAAATAGAAATGTGTTAGTGTTTTATTCCAATCTGTTGCTATACTAGAGCAGATGACCAAATTATGTATGCCCTGTCTGATTTGTATTTAACTCAAAACAGTTCATGAAAGCTCATGTCGGTAGATGATGTATGCCGAACAGTAATAATAATACTTAACCAGCCAACAGGGGTAGAAAGAGATGATTTATTAACGAATCTGTATTTCTTTACTCAAAAAAATATTTAATTCAGCCACTTTGATAAGTAACTTAACACACTAATAGAAGAAAATTATTTCCCATACAGTCGTAACAGATGGGACACTCTAAGATCATCCTGTTATCTAAAGCTCTGGGGGAAAATACTTAAGTTCAAAACCCAAATAATTAGTTGTATATAGGCACTAATCAGAAAATCATCTTTGAACAGTTAAATGGAAATGGATTAGAATTTTACATGATTATTTTGTATAATAAGCAGCTGTAACTGGTATAACAAGAATATAGCTGGAAATGTTATCACTATGAATGAATTATGAAGAAATTTAAAAGAAACAAATAACTTTTTTTTTACTACAAGTGATTGATCAAATTATTATGGTGCAAGTAAGTACAATTTGTGCCTAAAAAGCCTGACAACAAATGCAAAGTATTTATATTACATAGGATAATGAATGATTCCAGTTATATTGTCTTATCTTATGTGAGGATAATTAAAAGTGATTTTTAGATGAGAATATATGTAAATAATAGTTAGGTGGACGAAGGGATTGCAAATCCAAATTGAATATGACTGAGAAACTGCACAGTTAATTAAACAGGACTGGTTGTATTTTGCCCTGCAGGTATAAATCTGATTCAATCTTAAAAGAACTATGCATGAATCAGCCTGTGTTAAACAACATTTACTCAAGGATCGTTTAAAATTCCTCGCATTCTTTCACTTTCCCACCATCTTTGAATAATGTCTTTATTCTTGAAGGATCTCAGTTCAAACTGCTCCTGCTGGTAAAAGTGGAACAAAACAACATCCAGCTGCAATAATCAGTTTATAGCAGCTATAGGCTGTCTTACCTCGTCTCTCAGGGTCTTTAATCAAACGGAGCAGATGCGATATGTGAAAAACCTCCTTTTTTTTCTTTCGTGTCACGAAGCAACTTTGTTGGACTCACTCGCCGGTTTACTGTTTTTTTTGTTTTGTTTTGTTTTGTTTTTTTCTTCCCCACCTCCTCACAGTCGCGCACACACAGAGATCCACCTCCACTTTAAAAACAGAAACAGAGAAAGTTGCCTTTTCTTCCAAAGAGCATCTTTTTGTTTCCTGCAGAAGCTGAACCCCATAAAGCCGCTGGGAGCCTCTGCTCTGGATGGACAGCAGAGGAGTCTGTTGTCATCCGCCGCTCCTCTCTGACTGTAGTAAAGCTTTTTGTGTCTCAGAGTCTAAAGGCGGAAGCTCTCTCTCTCTCTCTCTCTCTCTCTCTCTCTCTCTCTCTGTTTGCTCTCTGTCACTCCCTCCGTTTAGTGGAGGGAAACCCTCACGAGCGCACCCTGGGGCGCGTGTAAGCACACTGAAATGCCAAACACTTTAATTAACGTGTTCAGAAGCGGTTTTATTATTGTTTTGTGTCCGATGCAGGGCCGTTACCAGGATGTTTCAAACACCGAGGTCAAATGTTGCGATAAATCTTACTTGACAAAAACAAACTTTTTAAAATATATTTTGGAAACGCGAATAAAGAGAGTTAAAGCACAAGCCCATCAAGGAGATGAATATGAACATGTTTATTATAATGATTCCAAAACTCACAAAATTAGAGTATTTGAGTGAATAAGTGAGTGGGTGTGAGTGAATGAGTGAGTGAGTATGAGTGAGTGAGTGAGTCAGTATGAGTGAGCGAGTGAGTCAGTGAGTGAGTCAGTGAGTGAGTATGAGTGAGTGAGTGAGTATAAGTGAGTGAGTATGAATATGAGTGAGTGAATCAGTGAGTGAGTATGAGTGAGTGAGTGAGTGAGTCAGTGAGTGAGTCAGTGAGTGAGTATGAGTGAGTGAGTGAGAGAGTGAGTGAGTATGAGTGAGTGAGTATGAATGTGAGTGAGTGATGTGAGTTTATTATAATGATTCCAAAACTCACAAAATTAGAGTATTTGAGTTAATAAGTGAGTGGGTGTGAGTGAATGAGTGAGTGAGTATGAGTGAGTGAGTGAGTCAGTATGAGTGAGCGAGTGAGTCAGTGAGTGAGTCAGTGAGTGAGTATGAGTGAGTGAGTGAGTGAGTGAGTATGAGTGAGTGAGTATGAATATGAGTGAGTGAATCAGTGAGTGAGTATGAGTGAGTGAGTATGAATGTGAGTGAGTGAGTATGACTGAGTCAGTGAGTGAGTATGAATGTGAGTGAGTGAGTATGAATGTGAGTGAGTGAGTATGACTGAGTCAGTGAGTGAGTATGAGTGAGTGAGTCAGTGAGTGAGTATGAGTGAGTATGACTGAGTTAGTGAGTGAGTGAGTATGAGTGAGTGAGTCAGTGAGTGAGTATGAGTGAGTGAGTATGACTGAGTGAGTGAGTAAGTGAGTCAGTGAGTGAGTATGAGTGAGTGAGTATGACTGAGTGAGTGAGTGAGTGAGTGAGTGAGTGAGTGAGTGAGTGAGTGAGTGAGTGAGTGAGTGAGTGAGTGAGTGAGTGAGTGAGTGAGTGAGTGAGTATGAGTTAGTGAGCATGAATGTGAGTGGGTGAGTATGACTGAGTCAGTGAGTGAGTGAGTGAGTCAGTGAGTCAGTGAGTGAGTATGAGTGAGTGAGTGAGTGAGTATGAATGTGAGTGAATGAGTATGAATGAGTGAGTATAAGTGAGTGAGTATGAGTGAGTAAGTATGAGTGAGTGAGTATACGTGAGTGAGTATGAGTGAGTAAGTATGAGTGAGTGAGTATACGTGAGTGAGTATGAGTGAGTAAGTATGAGTGAGTAAGTGAGTGAGTGAGTATGAGTGAGTGAGTGAGTATGAATGTGAGTGAATGAGTATGAGTGAGTGAGTATGAGTGAGTGAGTGAGTGAGTATGAATGTGAGTGAATGAGTATGAGTGAGTGAGTATAAGTGAGTGAGTATGAGTGAGTAAGTATGAGTGAGTGAGTATAAGTGAGTGAGAGTGAGTGAGTGAGTGAGTGAGTGAGTGAGTGAGTGAGTGAGTGAGTGAGTGAGTGAGTGAGTGAGTGAGTGAGTGAGTGAGTGAGTGAGTGAGTGAGTATGAGTGAGTGGGTGAGTTTGAGGGAGTATGAGTGAGTGAGTCAGTATGAATTAGTGAGTGATAATGCATGTGAGTGAGTGAATGAGTGAGTATGAGTGAGTATAAGTGAGTGAGTGAAGATGAGTGAGGCAGTATGAATAAGTGAGTGAGTATGCGTGTGTGTGAGTGAGTGAGCATGAATGTGAGTGAGCATGAATGTGAGTGAGAATGAATGTGAGTGAGTGTTATTATTGTTATCATTATACTATATTATTATTATTGTTGTTGTTGTTATTAATATTTAATTATTATGACTACTATTAATATTGTCACCATCATCACCATGCATGTGCATGGCCCACTAAATGAATCAAATGACTTGCAATAATATATCACATTGTGGACTTTATTTTTTTTTTTTTAACAAATTAGAATGAATGCTGACCCTTACACCCTCACAAACAATTACAGGTGCAACGGAGAGTGGATTCTAGCTCCTGATTCATCCTCTCCATTTGGCCATTTCACCGGAAGTGAGAGAGACTTTTGAATTTAGAGCTGTACAGAAACCTTTCCAAACCTGGGAGATGAACTGGGGACCTCGATCGGACAGAATCTCTTGTGGAATACCATGAAGACGGAACACATGCTTGACCAATAGCTGAGCGGTCTGGAAAGCAGTGGGCAGTTTCCTGAGGGGAACCAGATGACAGGCTTTAGAGAAACGATCAATTATGGTTAGGATGGTTGACATACCCTTGGAAACTAGGAGACCGGTAACGAAATCCACTGCTATGTGGGACCATGGGCGAGACGGAACAGGCAGAGGATGCAGCAGCCCAGAAGGTGGTTGGTGGGTCGGCTTATTCCTGGCACAGATGGGACAGGCCAGCACGTACTCCTTCACGTCCTTGTGAAGGGACGGCCACCAAAAACGTCGTGTGATGAGAGCGATGGTTCTACTTATACTTGGATGGGCTGAGAACTTAGCTGCAAGCATCCACTGGATGAGACGGGATCTGACAGAAGTAGGTACATAAGTTCTATTTGGAGGTCCATTTCCTGGGTCAGGTTCAGAAGCCAGGGCAAGATTGATGAGATCAGTAATTTCCCAGGAAACAGCTCCAACCGGGCTCCAGGTACTCAGAGATTCACTTCCATACAGAAAGCCCACATTTATATCTTCAGGTAACACAGAGTACATGTCAGACTTAATAATACTACTTTAGCGATAGTTTCAAGGTATTGCTTTATTGTATGTCTCGTACCATGTCTTTCGGTTGTGCTGTTCTTTTTACATCTCGTTGCAGGTGATGAAGCAGACTGAAAATGTTTTGTCATTGTCTCCTTTCTATCTCCTCTTTCTTTCATCTTTTCTCTTTTTTTTTCCTTTTTCCTCTTCTGCAGTGTCCATATAAACTGTAAAACTTCCTGCATAATTATAATAAAGCAAATTATATGCATGAAACAAGTGGAGCAATATGGCAATTGCCATACTGCTACACTTGTGAAAGTAAAATCTGTTGGGCTCTTTTTGGTATCAAGACAATTATTCTTATTGCCACATTGCCAGACAGGACACTGTAAAAAAAAAAAAAAAAAGAAAGAAAGAATGAATGAATGCTGATCTTTACACCAATCAAAGTCAGAACAATTTCCATCATATAGTTTGACATTTCTCTGAATTAATAATGACAATAATGATGATAATAATAATAATAATAATAATTAAACAAAAACAGGAAAATACAGAGGACATGACCTCGGTGTTCTCAATTCTGGTTACAGGGCTGGTCCATGGCATCAATATGCCAGTGTTTTTAAGCTAACATCAGTTAGCATCTGCATACCTTATTAGAAAATAATAAAGACAAAACAATAAGACGCCCAATAAAAAATCAGTGTAATGAGATGAGTCAGAAAGCCGTAGTTGTAGAGTCCTGATCTAACAGATTAATCAAAGGGAGGAAAAAAAAAGGTAGGAGTATGTTAAAGGTATAGAGGAGGATTTTGACAAATTTTTGAAAAGACCAGCCCTCTCCACTTAAAAAAATAAAATAAAATGCACATGCACAACTCTATACATGCTCTGACAGGAGACGCCTATTAAAAGTGTGAGAGCATGCATGAGCCAGTTTCTACTTGTGCATGCTCTGTTTTAAAGCTGCTGTTTGCATCGCTCAAACAAGCTTATTTCCAAAAGAAGATTTGCAATTTTTCAACTATGTCAGATTCACCACTAATGGGTGAAAATGGGGACAAGCACGTAGGAGGGCCTTACATAAACATATCACCATAATGATTGGCAATTAGGAGGACCACTTATTTTTATGATCCACCCTGAAAAAGGACAACCTCCATTATTCATTTAATATGCTTGAAGCTTAAAGGAACTACAGGAAGGAAAAAATGAAAAGAAATACACAGACATGACCAGTTTTCTATTGCTAATGGGTGATGAGACATTAAAATAAGCTGCAATTCGGGGGAAGAATTTCCCACGTTTTCCAGTGTTGTTTTCGTCAATGATGATTATGATGAAATTATTTTGTTGACGTTCCTTTTTTCATAAGGATAACGAAAACTGAAGAGCTAGGCATGGATCTTTGATGATGAAAACATGACAACTCATGGGTGTGAGATTTTGTTGCTGAAACGAGACTAAACTATATGGCGCTGATCATCCTCTGCCAAGCATAAAAAAATCCCTTTGTCTAACTATCAAGATTTTATTTCTTCCAGCTCAAAAGAGGACTACCAAAAGGAATCCCTAAATTATATTTCAAGAAAATATTTCATTGCATACTGTTTATTTTTGGATAAAGACCCAGATGTAAAGGTACAAAGATCTTTGAATATTTCTTTCTCATAGTTTTTGTTTCTATCAATTTGAATATTTCAACATTTTGGTTAACATATTAAAAATTTAGGTCCCGATTGCGGTGGCATTACAAGGATATTATGTAGGTTTTTTCTGTATTTTTTAAACTCCTTTTTCTGTATTTACTCCTGTGAATTTAAATCTACTTTGACCACTGAGCAGCAGAAACCAAGGTGCAAATTGAAGAAATAAAGCCAAAATTGCAAAAGTAGAAAGAAGAATGTTTTTGTTATTTGCTTTTTTGGCATAATGAAGATTGTATTGATCTGTGTGTATTGCATAATTCATAGTAGATAAGGAAGTGTTTGCTTGGGGATGGACACATTGTATGT